ATTTCTAAATTTCATGAGATCTCATCAACTTCCCCTATCTTCTTTAAACTGTTGTGTATGAAGACGTTTTAAATACTATAATTTCCCTCAAACACTTCTTTGCTCTAAAACGTTTTAGGGAACAAGCTACAACAAGTGGGACAAAGAACAAACATAAATCTCCAAACACAGCTAGGTGACTGGCGAGCGACCGAAAAAATCCGCCTAGTCCGGGTATCGAACCCGGGACCTCTCCATTACAAATGGAGCGCTCTACCAAATATTGAGCAAACACTTGCATCGACCGAACGACCTGCGGCGCGCCCTTCGCCAACGGCGAATGCCTGATAACCGCGACTTCCATGGAAATAGGTGACGCCTCCCACCACTCCAGATTCGATGGGAAAAACCCCAAGAGTGTTGGTCATCCATCCACTGAGACCGAGCCAGACCTGTCCGCGCCGAGGTCATTGTATTACCAAGGCAGGCAGCTTTGCGTCTAACCTCTAATCATCCCAACCAGAGCTCGGTGTTCTGGCATCCCCATGCTCTCTCATCTTCTCCTCTCCCTTTGGTTTTATACGTATATGCCATTCCAATGTTCACAAATCCACAACCCAGCGGGCATATTCGTCGCTTCGCAAAGTCAGCGAGTCTGGAAAATCACGCGCCAACCGAACGAACGCCGAAAATGACACCGGCCAGAAGTCATTCTTGTGGGAAGTTTTATAGTGGTAATCGTACTTCGCACGCTTCGGGACGGTTTGTAGCAAAGATTTTTTTTTTCTTGTTCTGGCGCACAAAAGAGATACGAAGCGCATCTCTCTACAACCCCCGAGCGGAAGCCGCAGAAAAAGCCCAAACGACCGTTTCGAGGCTCCCTCCGCAAATGAAAATGGCTCGCCGGAGAGCTTGCGGCGGTACGTGAACATGTGGCGCAATTCGGAGGCTAGGCTACGTGCGCCGCAGTTTACAGCCGGACAATTTGACGTGCTCGTCGGTATTGTTATACCAGGCGAGACGCGGTCTCATTAGACAGCTTCATGACGTGTTACATTGCGACTACAGTAAAGTGCACTCTGTGCTTCCTGCGGCGAAAAGAACGACGCGGTGCATGTCGTAATGAAAATAGAGGGAGGCGAAGGCACTACGAACAGTGTTTTCTGGAATTTAAATGGAGCGTTTCGAATCCTAGATGATGTCGACTTCATTCCACAATAAGCGTCGTAGGCGCGTGGGTTGGAGCTAAGAAGTAAAACGGTGGCGAGGTTGTATAAGTAAGAGAAAAGAGAGTACTGATTGCACCTGCGCATTTATTAATACACGGAACCGTGAGCGCCTGTGCACTTAATGGACGGGTATCTTTATGCAACAATTAAGGCCCTACAGGAATATTGTTTCAGTAAAGCAGTAGCACTACATACAGCTATTTAACTACTAGAAACAACTACACCTTCGACTTTGCGTGTTGGGGGATTGGTGGTCGGGACACTGTAGACAGGGGTGCATGCAACAAAAGCTCGCGCTGCAGAATAAAGGGTACCTGGGTTCAATACTAGTTATTCCCTTACACACGCCCTACGGGGGTGGGTTACACCCCCCTTGTTTTTTTTTAAGGCACCCCCTTAATTTGCAACAACTCTTCTATTCTAAATGCCCCCACCCCCGCCCCCCTATTTTCAATTTCTGGGGATACCCCTCATCCCCATTTCTGCCCTTTCACCTGGTTGAGCCTCGGATCAACGTGCGGTCGTGTTCCATTACTCTGGGATGCATGTTAAAGATACAAGGCTAGCAGTGGTGCCGCACTTACAAAATGTTTCCTCTACAGGGAAGACACAAGACACCGATTGGGACTGACTTATTTTCCTGAGTCGAGACATACCCGTAGAACAATAAATCACTTTCCAAGGTCAGGACTATCTAGTATCAGTTTTCAAAGCTCCAATATTTTTGCACGAACGGCAACGACAGGTGAACAAGGTCGGTTAAATTTGAGCACCCTTGTTCTCGCCAATCAACCCTACAAGGACCATCTTATTAGAATCAATTATTTAGTTTGCTATTTTATTAGGATGGGGTTAGGCTTTCTTGGTGTTGAGAAACTGTGTAATGCCGTAGCTGGAACTTTGGGTTTGGCGGTTTGGATCTGGACAGGGTGGTCATACGGACGGTTGAAAATGATTAATGGCTTTACTTTTCCGCGATGGTGGTATGCATACCCAGTATACGGGAAACAAAATAGAAAACACTTCTCACAATGCAGCAAAAAAAGCATAATTGTCCAAAATGTCAACAACCTCCGAAGGCAATTGTTTCGATGTATACCGTGATGTGAGAATCGCGTTTTCTAACTCCTTGATAATCGGCTTCAAATTGCTGGGGCTTGTTTACATCTTCCTGAAGTTCAAGTAAGAGGTAGGGCTCTTATATCCCTCGTATCGCAGAAAAGTTTAATTACGCGTCGCAGACTCAAACTCGTACTGCTGTTCTACGACGATTAGATATATATATATAAATAAAGATATTAATTGTAATTGTGTTGTGTTGTGCACATGTTTAGGCGAGGGGAAATTAGCATCAGTGGGTGTCTTGTGTCTCAGCTGTTTATGAGCAAGTCAGCCAGTGCAGTACAACCGCTACCCTGTGGTCTTTAACGTGCATCACGCAGTAGTGATAGACGACTGCACGCCGGTACGATGCTCATCCAGATCAAAACTGGGAGGGGTGTGCAATGCCTCCTCTAACTATACTAAGACTTATAAGGAATCGGTTAGAAGTAACGAAATCGCTTGTGATCTTTTACATTTATTAGTTATTTTGTAAGGGAATGATTACATACTTTAAGATGTAATTACCAAGTCATTTCCTTTTATTGTTACGTGAGGGAATGATTGTTATTCGTTACATTTTTGTTTTTATTCACGGAAAAAAAGGCAGAAACTTTAAACATTGACAAGAAAAACGTTTTTTTTTAAGAAAACATTTATTGGAATTGTTTTGTCACCTGCATTTCTCAAACGCAAGGTCTGGCCTTCTTCATCTGCTCAAAAACATTCTTCAAGTTACTTAAAACTTCAACTCAAATCTTTTTTTTTTCTTTTTCATGCATTGCCTGTTTGCAGTTTGTAGCTCGTCAGCTTTCTCGCCCACAACAAAGGGAGGAGCACATTGATACAAAGAGCCGGACCCTCCATGCAAACAATGTTAGGAAAACTCCCAACATAAAAAAATGTTCTTTCAACGAAAAAAAAAAAGAACTTTTGATGGACACACAATTTGGTGTAACGGATCTGTGCGCGCCGTTTCTTTTGCGCCTTCACTATTTCTTTGCTTCCTTCTGACCGAGAGAGAGAGATAGAGATCACTTTGTATTAACTTCAGGGATCAAGATGATTTACACTGGGGCAAATACGAAGTTTGGGGGAGCCGTAGCAAGGTCACAGCAACTCAATGTGACAGCAGGATCTAACTGACGTTTTGGGTGTCGAAAGGGTGGGAGGGGCCTTGGGAACGCATTTTTTTAACCACTCAGTGGCCCGTCCAGGTGGCAGCAATATTTAGAAAAGGGTGAATTGAAAAGGTTTTCAACGCGGTGGACCACATTATCGCATAGAAACGAATCAAGATGTCCGATAAAACTTTTGAGAGCCAGATGTTGCTCTAGGTCACAAAAAATTGTGAGTGGCGGCTACAATAAACGCTTTCCTAACACTTGTCTTTTTTTCTTACCCTAGAACAGGAAGGTTGAAAGTAACGCCTCGAAAGTAACGGATTACTTTTTGAAGTAACGGCCACTTACTTTTATGGAAGCGTAATTGTAACTGTAATTAGTTACATTCAGCCACGAGTAATCGTAAATGTAATTCGTTTTTTTTGTAACATGTACAAGCCGACTATACTTGGTTTCAGCTTAAGTCCAGACGCAGCCGAGGCTACAAGCACGACCTTGTGGCTGCAAGAGGCGCTCAGGGAGGAACGGACAGGCAGAAATCTTATCTCTCAATGTGTTGAAGACGCTGAAGCCTCAGGCGCCGACATCTTGACAGCATAAATCCGCAATAAAGTTCTGGGATGCACGTGAATTTGCACTTCTAACATCTCTATTAATATAGAATGTGTGTAGGAAAGGCCTTTCGAAAATCGCACGTGAATGGCAGTTTTTAAAACACAATTTTTATAGCTGTACGATTAAAAAATACTCGTAGTCATGGACGATTTCCTCTTGTAAGCATCTACGCATGGATGGATATACCGTAAGCGACCTTATCTTCGTGGGCTTAACGTTCTGGGAAAGGTGGGTTCCGGAAATCGTTCGCGGACAGAACATTTTACGATTGGGAGAGGTATATGCATTTTCAAGTCGCGAAAATTACGTCATCGTGAACATTATACTGTTTACAGTATTATTAAGAGGCGCTTGGCTGCATTAGCGGTATTTAATCAGCACAAAATAAAAATTTCTGCATAATATCATAAAAAAGCGCATTACGCTTGGCTATAAACCTTTTTCGTGTACCCTCGTTCCCAGCCATATAATAGGCGTATCTGGGATGGGCGACAAAAATAATAAAAGTTTCAACCTGAACATAGCAAACAAATAGAAAGGAGGAAAAACGAGAACGTGTGACGGTTACGCTATTATCCTATTATCCTATTGGCGCGGCGACGGCAAAACAGTGTTTTCGCCCATATTGGAAGTGACGACAATTCAAGATGGCGGCGCCCTCGTGAAGACAGTCCATAGGCGAAGAGCCGCCCAAAGGGCTGTGTGATGTGAAGAAGTTGTCCATGAACACGGAATGATCAGTGGTCATAAAAACATATTTCAATGCAGTAAGTATCACACGGCTGCCCAAATGTTCGGTGGTTGATGCTTCAACATTCTTTCCACAGTTGATTTCAATATGAAAAGGATATCCCGATGCACAAGACCCACTGCTTATACCCAAAACGAATGGGCTTCCCTCTGATGAACATCTTGCAGCTATGCCGTCTAAAGTAAGGCACCATTTGCTTATTCACACTGAGCTACGTTGCAAATACACCGAACTGCAGCAGGCTTTTGTTGGCTGCTTGCAAAAGCAGATCAAGTTTCCAAATCTTGTCGTTTTGTTCAGTGTTTCGTTGTTGGCTGCGTGCAGGTACTTTATTTGTCGAAACTTGAACCGGCTCATCACTTTTTCAACGAGAGGCACGTTCACGTCTTCTTCTTTGGACCAGCACAGATCCTCTCGCGGTAACGAATGGTAGCCGGTCAAGAAAAGTATACCCAGGAATTTGAAAAGGTCCGTTTTCTGAGTAAACTGGTGATCATTCCTCTGGCGGGCATATCTATTAGTCTCGGTGATGAGGAGATCCATCACTTCTTGATTAGATAATTTCTTGACGAGGTGTACATGCTCCATGCCTACCAATCGGGACGCAGGACGCGAAGAGATTCAGGCATAGTTGGAGTGATTGGGTCTGAAAAGATCTCATGAACCTGCCAGTGTTTTACAACTTCCGTTTTTTCTTTTTCTATTTGCTGACTGTTTAACCGTTCGGTCAACATTTCTAGATTGCACTTCAACTTCACCGGCGACATCGCAAGGCAGTGTAGACGTTAGCAATACACCAGCGTTTTCCTCTTCCTCTTCGGTCAAAGGATCATCTCCATTTGATGGTGGCAGGATTACCAAGTTGGCACTTTCTTCGTCGTCGTCTAGAACCATTTGAACTGCCTCTTCAAGTGTCAAGCATCGCGCCGCCGTGACATTAATAAAACTTGTATTTATGTTGTAATTATTCCCTGCCTGAAGGCTGAACAGAAGTACCGCAACAACATCATATATATTTGGCCATTGTTCCCTTTGGGAACATCGAAGATTACAAGCCTCCAACATGCACAATACCTTTGTCTCTACAAATTCGACTTTATAAAATGAAAAATTGTTGTTTCTGGGACAAGATATTAAAATAAAGTGCGTTTTAGATCTTTAAATACCTTTGATGCCGATTTGTGTCCGGACCGACGTAGGAAACGCAGGAAGGCGCAAAAGATCAATAGAAAACGTGATTCAGAAGAAAACGAAACTATAACATTGGAACGAAAAGTTATCTCCTGAATGATCCATTCTTTCACAACACCTCAAGCTTGATTTTAGGAACTTTAAAGAAGTAAAAAAAAAAAACAAAAAAAAAACAACAACAACTGGGAGTTGTTTTGGAACTGTAGGTTCTTGTTCCCAAATGAGAACAATATGGCCCTTAATCGGTTAAGCTCGAACCGAGCGCCGAGGTGGGGCGGGCCTACTCTCCAGCCGGTAAGTTCGCTGCTTGTCGTACAATGTTGCCAAGTGTCTCTTGCCGAAGCATACTCCACCGAGCGCAAAAATAAATAAAACAAACGAAAAAAAATCAGGCAACGGTCAGTGGTGGCTGGCTCCTTCTCATTGTGTTTATATTAAATAACTTATAATATAAAGCATACAGGTGTTGGCTTCGACTGCGAAAGAGCACTAACAATTAAATAAAATACCTAAACCAGTAACAAATCGAAAAATTATAAAATTATTTAAAGCCTAAAAGCGCCCATTATACTGCGCCAAAAGCCGCTTAGACAGTGCATCAACGATGGCTGCGCTCACCAACGTTGGCGCTCACGGCAGCTCTGGCTTCCACGACGTGCTGGAACAGAGGCTGCGTTCGTTGTAAAGTCAGCTCCAACTCAAACATACCCCGCCCTACAATATTTTATGCTACGATTCTGTGTGCATACCGAATCCTGCGTTCCGAAACAGTGTGTCGCTAACGCGGCCATCTTGTCATCGCGCGCCCCAATGACGTGCCCCTGGCGCACCCCAACATGGCGGAAACGTTACGTGGCAAAGCATCGTTCAAAATGGCAGCACACAGTAGCCTTTCTTGCAAACATGTATAAATAATGGAAAGAACACAAAACACACGGACCGACAAGACGGTTTCCCAACTGGCAGCAGACGCGTTTCTCTTTCAAGTAGCGTCAAAGTGCGCCAGTGCACGAGGCTCGTGTCTCGAGGAGGAGGAGGAGGAATAAACTTTATTATGCTTGTATAGGAAGTATTCACTGGACGCCATATTTGTGGGTGCTGTTTAGAGCGCATGCTCAGAACGAGCTCACATCAATAGACTGCTAAGACCGGCACTCTTGACGGTGCGGAATGCACGTTGCAAATGAACTGTGGAAGCTCGCCATCAGCACGCGCTCAGAATTTGCGCACACAGCTATGGCCGCCAGTGAATACTCCCTATACTTGGAGGCTAATGGCGGTGGAGTGTTGGCTCGCGACACGTGTCTTGCGCGTTTCCACAACAATAGTTGCCGGTACTTGAAAGCGTGAGTATAATTAAGGGAACGATATTCAATTAAAATGTTTTTCACTTTACACGAGTTTGCTGGCTCTAGTGGGACCCAAGTACACTCGCACGCGGCGCCAGTGACCTCTGTGTTGCGGTGTAATTTCAAGGATAAATTCGAGCGTATTTTTTAATCTCTCTTTCGCAAAACTTGATGACGTAGCGTGGGGGGTCGAAGTGTCCCCATGTGACGGTATTTGAACGCGGCTCATAGAGTGAACCTGAGCAATGCGTGAACATTCGATTTGGGCTTGTTATAATCAATAGCTCGACAAGTATTCCGGTAGCGGGTCGTGTCCAATCGCGGAAATGACGACAGTTGCCGAATTCTAACAATTTCTGGTATTCAGCGCGTTCCCTGTGCTATGCTAACCTCAGCGCGTGGCTATGATCAACATTGGCGGCCAATAATCAGCTCCAGATCTCGTGGCCGCTTGTTCTGGCTGCGACTTGAGTAGGTAAACGATGATCGTTTTCTTTTTATTAAAATTTTTCTGCGAAGTTTATTGCATGGGGAGAAAGACGAATGCTTGTTTCATTGGTCATAAATGCCAGTCACCAGTTCTGAGCGGTATTCGCGCAAAGTACAAAAATGTTTGCACCGCCTCTTTAAGAACAAGTATAATTCCTGTATAGGCTCCCTACGGGAGCCTATAGGCGCTTTGCACACGCCAAAAATTACAGCCGCCATTGTTGACCTTCTCTTGTCTTTTTCATATGCCGAGCCACTAAAGCGAGCGTTGACAAGCCTCCACAGAGGCCAAGGCTGTGGAGAAGGACGCAGTACAATCTAAAATATCAATAACCTGCCCTGCTGTGGTTACGATGAGGTGAAGTAAATGTTATAAGAAGAAACAAAAACTGAAGGTCAGTTATGGCGGCGCCCATGCACAGCTGCTGCAAAGCGTCTATTCAGGAACTCTAAGAACAAGCTGTACATAGCGTCCCCTATCGTTGGATCTCCTCGACTATTGGCCATGAAAGTTTCGAATAGCGAGAGGCCGACAAGAAAGAAAACGAAGCGGCTAGCCTCTGCCCGGTCGAGTCTAGAATCCCTTTTTTCCCAGACGACCGACCACGGCCTCGTCATGGCTTCGGCGGAGAGCCGTCAGCGGCGCGCAATGCACCGACGCCAGAGTCAGGGTCTCCTCGTAGTCCGGCCCCCCGTCCTTCACGAGGAGTCAGAATCGACCCTACATGAGATGGACGAAATTTTCGACATACACCCGAGCCGCCTCGAGGTGTTCCGCTGGCGCCTCAACGAGTTCCTCAACCAGGGACATATGATGCTCCTCGTGCTGCGAACCCACGTGCACGACTACTCGCCGTACTATACCTCCGAGTTCGAGCATGCGGTTCTCTACTACAGCATGATCAAGGTACGGAGAATGTGGGAAAACATCTCCTTCCCGTTTGTAGCACGTAAAGTGCACCTCAGTATTGCATAGAAGGCGTTTCAAACTGGTCATGCTACACACCTGCTTTCTTCATATTTTCTTCACGTTGGACGAGTGAGACGGCATACTCTAGCTTATTTTTGATAAACATGCGCGTGGTTATATAAAAATTATGGTCACAGCATTTATGCAGAAGGCTATATCTGTTTCATCATAAGTGTAGGCTAAGCTAGAGTGGGCTGATGGGCGAAGGTGTGCTCATTGCCTGGTTCGGCAGTGTAGGCTGGAAATGATGATGTGGGTGTTTGTTGCCTTTCCTCATTGTGGTAGAAAGGCAACATGTGCATGATCTGCACGGTGGCGCTGTTGCTCTCATTCAATTCACACGTAATACATGGCACGTTGTTCCACCCAATTAGGATCTTTGTTGTCTAGGGTCAGAAAGATAAGAAGAGGAGTTTGAAATTGTTTTCATATCAGCACTTACTAAGGTGAGCTCCAAATCTGCTTAGTTTTCGACGCCCGTGTGTATTGTCAGAACCTCTATAGACGCGTAGTCTTTGTAGCATGAACATAAGAGCATCGACTCCTGTCGCATTGGGCTAGTTGCAATGAGGCATGATCCGGCGTATCATAAATCGACTGATTAACCCTGGCCCAGCTCTGACCCCTTATTTCCGCGAAACTGACCGAAAAACGGTCGGTTTCGCCGACCGTTTTTTGCTAGCAGACGACCCGGAAATGCAGAGTGGTGTCGGTATCGGTAGAGACAAAATGTCTCGACCGCAAGGTGCACTGATTGATACTTCATAGAGCTGTCGCGAGGGGGCACTGATAGTAACGCGGGCCACGCGGAGCGATGTTCGGACTCATATTGATCGTGATAGTACATACATGTTATTAGTCGAGACACTTCAAAATTAAACAAAGGCCTCATACCTTTTTTTCTAGTAGGACCGCACCATCTGATAGGTCATCTGGGTCGTCCATCAGTCGAACTGCTTGATCTTATATTTATTCTCCGCGTGCTCCTGCTCTCACGATCTAAGGACTGAGTTCATTCTGTTAGTGGGAGACCGTTCCATAAAATGGGATAAAGCGCAATAATTAAAAAAGCGGTCAGCAGCAGCATGCCACTGAGTACTATCGACCTCTATCAATACCAGATGATTCCAGCACATGCGGCGATGTGGCAAAAGGTGCGCGGTTCTTGGCAGCATTTTTTTTATCAGTTTCGATGACTGCGCCATCTACTTCCGTCCTGGATCTCTGGATTGAATCGATGCAGACAATGGACACACCCAACGTTACTGGATTGGGCAAGTTGACAAGCTCCGAGAAAAAAGTGACGCGCTGCCATTCACTGCCGCGTAGTGGCGCTCGTGTCCAAGCCCGCCCGACCCGTTCGGTCTGACTGGCCTAGGTACCCGTGGATACGACGTGAAAAACATAGTTTGCATGTGGGTTCACAAAGTGTATTACCAAGGAATGTTGTCAGTGCAATAATGTCCGGATTGGGACAACATTTCCTGGGACTTTTGAGGTAAATTCACGCCCACCGGGCCTTTGCAGTTTTGGCAGTTTTCCGACATTCGGCACCAAAGCAAGCAGCTCGGTGAAATGGCTGCGTCTATCGTTCGTGGTTTCCGGCACATGGACCGTTGGGCTTTGGTCGTTTGCGGACTAAAATACCGTGAACTTCCCCTTTTTGGTGTTCTGTGTTTGTGTGAGAAGTTCAAGCGTAAACTGCTGCATACATACAAAAAGCCGCATTAGGAAAGAATGTCATTTTGAAGACATCTTTTTCATATGAAGGAAGCGGGCTGTTTTTTTTTTGTATTTGTATTCGACTACGCCGGGGCCTGCTACTGGTGAAAACAACTGAGTTATTCCTCACGTGTTTTTTACGTGTGTGACAACCTCGCTTCCTTGCGTGTGCGTGCCATTTCAGAGACGTGTGACTTAGGTGAAAGAATTTCAAGGCATCAGCTTCGATCAGCCAATCAGCGCGGGTTCGTGTGTTTATATTTGAAGATTTACGTGTGAACGTGCGATAGATATTAGAACCGTTACTTCACAGTACCTGCTACAGCTTCGCGGCAACAGTGCACGAATTGGGAGACACCCTCGTTGACTACGTGAAACGAGTACATTTGTGTAAGCTCCTATGCAGGCTCCATGCGCCGGACAGTAATACGCTTGTTGACGCGTTTATAAGCGCGCGTTAATATAAATTTGCTTTATGTTAACTACTATTTTCTTAACGTTGAAGTTGTCCATAAATGCTAATGTTGTTTTATTGATTTGGTGAAGTTTCTGCGATCTATTTCAAGCCAATACAAAGATATTTTTAGCTACCCTGAGAATGCGACATAGGAAAGCTCCTGTGCAAATACCACCTCTGAAAACTGCAATGCCTCTTCGTTGTAACGCAAATGCTCTTCTACGCGAGATACATCATTCGAGAGATGACGAAGAAGAAGGCAGTCGCAAACAAGAAAGCTCGAATCCTGCGATTACCAACTACAGGTATTTCTTGGTGTTCTTCATTCTGCTCGCGATTTTGTTTATGCAAAAAGAAATAAACGTTGCACAGTATTCATCTGCTATTTTAGCCTTGCCGAAGGTTTTTTGTGGTAACAAATAAAAAGCAGAAAACGCATTCTGTTCGTTTGCTTGTGACAAATATGTGGGAGCGTTTATCGCTGGATACGGCGCTGACAGCGCACGCGAGCCCCTGCTTGTGAATGCTGGTCAGACAAATATGAGAGACATCAACTATGACATAAATCCTGTTACACTTTGATATTACCCGAACATAGAATCGCACTCGGAAGCTCGACCTAAAGTTACGCACCTAAGCTCCTATCCGTTGAATTATAGAATAAAAATAATGAAAGAAATCGTTAGCGTTCATAATTACAATCGTGGCTGCAGCAGAAGCTACTTGAAGAGTCCATTTCTTGAAAAAAAAGAAGTGCGCAAGGACTGCCGACGTGCCGCCGACCGCCTGATTTCGCATTGAAAAGCCAGCGTCCCGAGCTTGCCCAGAGCTTGGCCGGCCTTGCGGACTGGGCGGCCTGCGACGACAGCGCCAGCACGCTTAGCCGGCTTTCCGAAGCGGGGCCATTGCGGAGCTTGTCAACTGAGCTGATTTAGTAACGTTGGGGCACACATCCCCCTTCAGCCACCCTAGCTAAGCGGAACCTACACTGGCCAGCACACCGCCTTGAACGAGCCATGCAGTGCACGAGCGCGAGTGCTCGGTAGTTTCATTCAAAGCACAGTGCCCAGTACTACCTTGATTAATCAAACCCTCCAAAATCCTTCCTCTTTTTCCATGGAGCGTCATTACACTCGGACGGCACAAACACAGCAATGAACCGTTTTCAAGAGCGCACGCCACCTAGCGGCTGCTGCGCCAGTTACCCGAATCCGCCATTTCATGGGCACATTCTCTGAGCATGGAATGGACACGAGGGCTGCGTCATTGTTCGGCGAGGATTCGGAACCAATCACGCGCTTCTATCCTCCAAAAATGACAACCGCCCATGCTGGTTTGTTCTTTTCTTCTTTTTTTTAATATCTGAGCATGATGCTGAGCGTCCTTTCGCGCGTTGATTGGACACGAGGCCCAGCACGAACGCTGGCGCGGCACTTGCGTCCAATCTGTGTCTTCAGTCGACCTTACTGTGATGACGTCGAAATTCTGGTGCACGGGCTTCGAGTATTCCAGGTGGTGATGGCAGAGTTCGCTTTCGTAAGTTCTGCTGTGGTCGAACTTACGTCGTGCTCGCCTGCGAATGCAGCGGCCAGAATCCGTTTCAGAAAGATATATTTGGCGAGTTGCGCGACCAAAAGTGTCGCCGTGGTCGACCTTCCACCACTGGCGAAACGCTCGATTTAGGAGGAATATTCGTCGGTGGAATTGTAAGCAACATTACACTGTCAGCGTTGACGTCTTAGGTTTAAGAAAGCGGGAGCTCGAGGCTTCCGCCGTGCTTTTTACGCGTACCATCAGACTTGTTCTTTGCGATCGCAATATTGGTCATGACGTCGCAAATCCCTACTAAAAAAAAATAAAAAAAAACAAAAAACACATGCGCTTGTAATTTAGAATATTACATAAAATACCCAAATGACATACAGTGCATGCTACACTCCGTTAACCCTTAAGCTGAGACCAGAAGCTCCGCCTTCAGCGCGCGCTTTCAGCCCTTGCTAACACAAGTGTGAACACGCAGGTTCGCGCAGCCGAAGCAGTGCGGAAGCCAGCGAGCTCGCGCTGTAGGCGTAGCTTCTAGTCTCAGCTGAAGGGTGAACGGAGTATACGAAGTCACAGTTAACCATTGAGTTTTTATATTTGGGCGGACTATTGAACTTTTTTTCCTATGTAATACTGAAGCATGAAACTGCTTTAAACGTGACATCAATTGATGTCACGTGACCTGACGTCTCTCGACCAACACACCAATTACCTTTCCCCGCTGAATTTAGCGGGAAGACTGATATCACGTGTCTTGACGTCAGGAGCCCTGTACAGCAATTTAATTTCGCCGCGAGATGGGAGACTTCGACCAAAAAAAAGATTATTCACTCCATCAAACGACGGTCAAATGTCTTCTAAATAATTTTAACGATCGCATTTTAAATACTGGATTTCATGCATCATAGGACTTTGGAGATAATATTAATAATAATATTAATATTACTTTATTTTCTGGTAGTGTCCAAAAACGGTCCCGAAGGCCTACTTATTAATACACTATAAAAAAAATTACTATCACATTAAAGATGCATCTGTCTGTTGAGGCACAAGTGGAGGCACAGGCTAATCAACACTAGCCACAAAAATAATAAACGCAATACACACATATACCAAGACGCTACAGTTAACACAAAGCGCTAAAATCAAGAGAAAAGTGAAAAAAAAAAAGATAAAGGGTGCTGCCAATTTTTTATATCAAAAAGCCTAACGGAAAGTGGTGCGTTCATATACAAAGGTTGGAGAGGCAATACGTTTTAGTCGCATAGACCAGCGCTACATCTAAGCCTCATACGCCAACAATCATCCTGCTGCACAAAAGGGAAGGGATCGTTCAATGTATAGCTGGCATTTACAGGACGCCATGTTTGAGGTGACTGCTCACAGCACATGCTCGGTATGTGACGAGCATGCGCTGTGAGCAGTCACCTCAAACATGGTCTCCCCCCCCCCAAGAATACAAATCTAGGTGGTGTGCAATGTGCTTGTTGAAAGCGTTATGAAAGCCTGCCGTCAACACGTGCTCAGTAGCAGCGAGCTCAGCTATGGACGCCAGGGAACAACACCTATGTGGAAAACGTCGCTGGCCGGTTGTATATCTGAGGTCGTACTGTCATCCGGCACGACCAAGATTCTCCGTGGCATGGCCGCAAAATATGGCTACCCAGCGTGTGACGTCCTCATGGGCCAGTTTCACATTTCAAATACGTGACACCCTACACGTTGATAGTGCCACGAATACCACACAGATGTCAAGGACTGTGATTCCTTATCTCTGAAATTTGATCCTGACGGACAGCGCTACTTTACATGATTTAATTTGTGTAACTCTTCTATCTAACTACAATGGCCTTGCCTTTTTATTAGCTGAAGTATAACAGAGCGCATTTTGCCCTTCATTGGAAGCCCGTCGTTTATGTCTCACAACTGAATACGACCTGTGCGTCCAGAAAAGTGGCCAGAGAAGTGGCTACCTTGTATGACTGACATAGCCGGAGATCGGTGGACGAGTTTTGTAAACGCACCGCGGATCAGAAAGCGTGGAGCGGAAGCTCGCGCTGCAGAACCCAGGGATCCTGGGTTCACGGTGTCCTGGGTTTCATCACCATTCCAACCCGTTCTAATTTAGATGAGCATCGTACCAGCGCGCGGTCGTCTAATCACTACTGCGTGGGGGCTAGCAGTGATACTGCAACGGTTAAATTTCTCATCTACAGCTGAGACACCAGACGCCCATTGGAGCTGACTAACTTCCGGCTGTCTAAACATGCACACGGCAATTATTACAAGTACTCCCTGCAAAAGTTCTAGCAAGAAAACAAACTTTATTTATCACTCAGAATCTGTATTTCACAATATGTTGCTGACTGCTCCGCGTACAGGGGCATAACCATATTCGTCTCTCCGTTACCTTGCAGGTCGAGCTCGACGACTACTTTAACGCGGCCGCACGGTACAGCATGAAGGGCATGCACCAGAAGGATATTAAATGGTGGCCCGACACGCTGTTTAAGCGCGTGTTCTTCGTAATTTTTGCTGTCCTGGACAAGGTGGAAGTACAGACGCTGGACTACTACGTCAACAAGGACAATCTAAAGCAGCTCTTCAGACATCTACAGTGGGAAAACTTCTTGTTTAACTGGAAGGTCGCTCTGGATCAATCGCCTTCACCGAGCACCACCTTTCCCTAGTGGCATTTAGCGACGAGCCTCGACTTTTGGATTGGTCGGAATAAAACCCAAGATCCACTCTCGCATAGCACGGAGCGTGTACTGTTAAAGGGGAACTCCGCCGGTTTATTAAACTACCTAATCCAGAAGCATCATCTGAATGCGAATGGCTTCCTGATTCCCGAAATGCTATCTCGTTGTTCCAAATTCACTCTAGTTACTTTAAACGGTGGTATTCTGTTCGTTGACGAAACCAATACATCGTTCTCCCCAGTTTTTCCCCAGTTTTCCCCGCCTCCCAAACGTGACGTCACTGGCGGGCAGCGAGGCGAGCGGCCGGCAATCGGGTAAGCTCGCGCCCGCCTTTCTCGCGTCAAACAGCAAGAAAGCAGGGGCGTTCGTGCTACCTAAAGTTGATAATAATCTCTAGTTGCACACAGTATGACTGTGGTCTACGTGCTGAACTATGAGAAAGTAAGAAAATGGAAGCAATTGGGATTTTAAGAAAACGGTGTTTGCAACTGGGTACGCTCAAGCCGCGGCTCGCTAGTTTCGTGAAATGCTAGCAAATTCGTCCTCATTCTATCAGAAGCTGGCAGTTACGATAGCGAAGAAAGGTAGAAGAGTCACGCAATACATTTTTTTGGAAATTACCAAAGCACCAAGGAGGACTCTCAGAATGTGGGTACAGATGCCCCACACACTCCTGTTACCTGAAGGAACGTGTCATTTGCTTTAGATTTCTTTTAGAAATATTACTGTTGCAGATACCAGCACGTGTAACTACTTTTGTAGCAAGCATGTTCTCCTTGGTGCTTCAGTTATTTATCAAAATATCTATAGACCATTCCAGAAAAGCGCCTGTGGTCAATGCCATGTTGCGCGTTCGTACCATGTTCGGTGCTATGTTCAGCGTTCTTTGCTCGCCTTCCAAAGTGTAAGGAGCCGCATCCCGGGGGTGCGGGCCGATGGCGGCGCGGGGTCGACCTTGAGAACAAGTGGCGAAAGGTGTCGTCACGAGGGAGCGGCGGTGACGTCATCAGGGTCGCCGATGGTTAGGGGCTCGGCGGAAACAGGGCGAGAGTGAGCGTGACCGCGGCAGGCGAGGGCAAGGGAAAAAAGGGAGGACGCACGGGTGGCACGCGGGAGCCAGCAGCAGGAGGTCCCGAGGACGAACGGACGAGCCACCCCCAAAAAGACGCTACCTGCTTTGGACGGCGGTTGCCCGTGAACGCTACCAGGGAGCTGCTTGACAGCTGCCGCCAGAGCCGTTTATACTGAGAGAGTTTGGCCGATGGGCGGAGCTTGTTGGCCGCTAGAACAAGCGGATTTCGCGATAACACAATATGGCGTTACTTCTTTGTCTTGTTCATTCCTGAGAAATCGCGTAGAGTTCCTATGAGTCAGATCCACAATATGGCGGACGGAAGTAGTCATCCCCTGGTTGTCAGACTACGCTGCTGTGGTTGTCAGACTGTCAAAATCTCCTTAAGAAGGCCAAACTCTCTCAGTATAAACGGCTCTGGCTGCCGCCAGCCCGTAACATGCCCGAGAGCTGCCAGCCCTGGACCTGCTCGTGACAGACGAGGGAAAGGAGCCAGCGAGCCACCCGAGAACGACGCAGCCCGTCTACCTGTTCAACAACCCCCTCAGTAAGCGACCCGACGACGGCGACCATTCCAGCCAGCAGTATTAAATTGTTAAAAGTATTTGCCTGTCTCCTGCTTGCTCTCCACCGAGGGAGGAACCCCGTCAACTGAGTTTCGCATCGAAACTTTACAAAAGCGACAAACACGTGCGTGCTGGGCTGGGACCTAACAGATGTAGACTGTGATTCTCATTATGGAACTGCATTCGTGTAGGCCAGATGGCAGATTACTGTTTATGAAGATCGTGCTAAAATGACAATTAAAAGAACTCCACAACCATCAAGGCAAAGATCAAGGTGCAATGAATGCCGTCTAACATACACATACGTTATTGATCTTCAAATAATGAATGTCTGCTTGAAGATACAATGGTGAGTAAAGTACAGAAATGCATCATACATTTTATTATTCAAGCTAAGTTAACAAAAGTTGGTCAAAGAAAATATTTTGCACATACTTCTCTTTTTTGACTGTCAGAGTAGATCGCAACGCGTTTAAACACTCATCCACGAGTGCGCATCGGAAAGAGGTAATTCTATATTAGACTTTTTACAGCCAAATCTGTACACCTCTACCAGCCAAGGAAATTTTAGTGTCGTCGTTGTAAGCAAAAAACTCCCGGCGAACAATTGAAGGCAAAACAGCATATCCTCTTTGAAATCAGGCATACAGCATACAGCGCAGTATCCGTTTCAATAAAAGAAACGACAAAACAAGCATCAATAAAACAAGCATTAAAACCATATTATGGGTGATAAGGCGCGTCTGAACAATAGGAACAACCTCCCACGCGTTCCGGTAAAGGTTTGCAGCTGCTTCGAAAGGGGTTGACGTCATTCGAAGCCCTTGTGTGAAGTGAGGTCACGTGACACTCACACGGCCTCCGATTGGCTCCAATGGCTCGTAACATCCGCTGCGCTTAAACGTGAGATCATTGCTGCTGCAGCACCGCGACGAATAGGCCACGCATAGTTAAGACACCCGAGGAGGCAGCGTGAATACTATAGGAGCGGCAACGGTAAAAGAAACGGCAATACGACCAGCGGTGGAGTGCTGCGACCGGCGGTGGCATTTCGTGTAGTGCAGTAGGCAATTGTTGCAGGTGATACCACAGCTTCGCTGACCATCCGCCTTCACAGCATGGATTGGAGTAAATTAAATTTTGGCTTCAAAAGGAGTGGTTGTTTGGGCGAGTTTATTTTACATCTTATACAATCTTGTGCGCAGCAAGGACGAGGACAAAAAAAAAGAGAACAGGACACAACAAGGCGCACCTTGTTGTGTCTTGCGTGTGTGTGTGCGCCTTGTTGTGTCCTGCTCTCTTTTGTTTACGCCCTTGCTGCGCACGAGATTGTATAAATTTTGGCTTTGCACAGTTTCCATCAGCTGTAAATTTGCATGCTCCCCCCTCCGTACATTAATATTTTGATGGTCTTATAAACCTTTCAGTCCTGTGTAATATTTCTACAGAATAAAATAAACTAAATACGTTTTCACGATTTTTTTTGCGAGATAATAATGCACGTCACCCATTTGACAAACCAGGCAAACGCTCTATCGTATATTAATGGAGCTCAGCACCTGCACAATAACCCTTTGTAAAACCAGATACGAATAGCAATATGTCGAAAGTCATGTCTAAACTCAAACTTGAACTTCGCTTAGACGTTTCTCTTCTCGTCTTCAACAAATCGCCCGCGTGGGTGGAACTGAGAGAGTAGCCCGAGCTAGATTCGATGTCCAAAACAAGTATAATGTTTATGAAAAAAAAAAAAAATACCGATGCAATTCTGAACAACAAATGGGACTGAACAAAATGTCGACTATAGTGTTAGAATGTGCACTACACGGTGAAACAAGGAGACGCCAGGCTCTTTAAATCGACCGGAAAATTCGGTTTCTTAACCTATCGCGCTACGACTTTGTGCAGCGTTGCCCACAGATGGTGCATTTTTTTTGTTGTAAAATTTGCAAAGAGCGAACTTACCTGAGGAAAAAGTAAAGAAAGAAAAAGGCTTAGCTCAAATGGAAACGCAGCGACGCCACCGGTCTGCAAACAACACGGCGCCGTTTCGCACTGGAGACAAGAGATGGCGCAACAAACGCCGCCAACGAACGAGCATACAACGCCGAGAGCAGGCCTTTTTAGCAGACGATTTTTTCGACTCAAAAGCGGCGCGCGTTCCGCAGGCGGCGACAGTCGCAGAAACAAAAAAGACAGGCGCGGTAACAGCAAGGAAGTGCAGTTCCTTGTCTGCAAAAGGGCCGGCTCTCGGCGTCGTCTGCTCGTTCGTTGGCGGCAGTTGGCGTCGCGACAGAAAGAGTACCGCCAAAATCGCATGCAGTATGTTATATTAACAACAATTATTCTAATTCACTCAAAATAAAGTACGGTGTTCCGCGAGGGTCTATTTTAAGCCCGCTCTTATTTCTTCTTTATGTGAATAATATCACAAATATTCTGGGATCCCCTGAGCTGGTCATATACGCAGACGACACTAACGCGTTTTTTGCTTCAACCTCTAAAGGGGCCTTAGAATCTATGACAAATAATCATCTAGACAATCTATCAGAGTGGCTTCAAAATAATAAATTACAACTAAACGTAAAAAAAAAATATATGTAATTTTCACTCCCGTTAATAGGTGCGACAACACTAACGTGACAATATATTTCGAAAATGAAATTATAGAGGAGGTAACAGAACAAAAATTTCTTGGTGTGTGGTTCAATCGGGAGTTAAGTTGGAACACGCACATAAATAAACTGAGCTCTGAGCTATCCCGAGCCATCGGATGTATTTATAAAATAAGAAATCTCATACCTTTGTGGCTAAAAAAAAATATATACTACGCTTCATTTTATTCCAAACTCTGTTATTGCATTTTAGTCTGGGGCACGACATCGGCAACCAATTATAATAGGTTGATCATCTTACAAAAAAAAAAAAAACTTCTACGACTATTTGAAAATTATCAAGGTAAGCCTCAAAATCTCCCAACTGAACCGCTGTTCAACAAATATGGCCTACTTAAAGTGAATCAAATTTATTATTTTAAATTGTTACAGATAATACACACAAAAAACTCTTCGCAATTCCGCCAGAAAACACAACGTATCACACACTTAGACATAGAATCAAACGACCTCCAAAAATACGTACCAATTACGGAAAACAAACGACATGCTTCCATATCGCCAAAATCTTGAATAATACGGAAGATCTAATAGATTTTAACTGCAATATACTCCAATTCAAAAGAAGACTAAAGACACTTCTGGTGGGCAGTGACATTGTGTTCTGATATGTGTGTACTGTGTACTTATTAAGTCATGTCCATATTTCACTTTTGAATTGTAAAACATGTTTCTGACCAATTTGTT